TATCTGTGGAATGACTGGGGTGGGGCACAGAGCTCTTCTCTGCTGGAGCTAGGTGTGAATGTTTCAACTGACGACCTTCAGTAGCATTTGAAGGCCTGGCTGAGCCTGGGAGAATCTTTTGTTGAGTGGTGTTAAGCTGTGCTTGGTTGTTTCCTCTCTGCTGTTGTAATTTTTGAGTTTTTTAACTCCCACAATCCTTGAGTCCCGGCAGTCAAAGTGCATTAATCCAGCAGTGTAGGGCATAGCTAGTTAAAGCTTATGCGCATGCTCCCTGCCAGGTTCTGAAAGGGCCGGAAGAGCTTCACTGCTTGTAACTGAGCATGCGTGCGAAACACACACCCACACCCACCCCGGGCATGCGCAGTCGCAGGGAAGGCGAAAGCGAGTCTGAAGAGACGCCGCGCCGCCACGTGACGAGTCCAGGCGGGCCCTCCACGCCCTCTTTCGGCCATGGCTCGCGACGTGAAGAGCAAACTGTCCAAAAACCTTCTCCGCATGAAGGTAATGGGGCGGCGGGAGGGGGAGAAAGAACCGGTTTCATGGCTCTTTCGGGAGTGGGCGGGGTCTAGACGGCTCTTCCCGAGCGGCTTCGGCAAGCGTCGGCTAGCCCCTCCCACTTCCGAAGCCCTTCGGCTGCGGGAGGCGAGGGGCGGGGAGAGGAGCCGAGTGGTCTCGGGAAGAGTCGCTAGGCCCCTCCCTCTTCCGAAGCCCTTCTGCTGCGGTTGGTGAAGGGCGGGAGATCTGAGTGGCTTAGGCAAGCGTGGGCTAGGCCCCGCCTACTTCAGAAAGCCCTACAAGAGCCGCGTGGCTTCGGGAAGAGTCGGCTAGGCTCCTCCCACTTCCGAAGAACTACGAGTGAGGAAGGCGGAGGGGAAAGGGAGCCGAGTGGCTTCGGGGAGATAGTATGATAGCTGGATCCGGAAGCTCAGAGCGTTACACTGTTTCCGCTTCTCTCCTTCGGGGGCGCTGTTTGCATTGGTCTTTTTATCATCTTACTTAGGCGATCCCTCGTTGGACGAGTAAGATGGTCTTCCTTGATGACTTTTAGTGGGTTTGTAGGTGGCTGTGGAGCCCTATTCTTGACCCGCATCTTCTCCCACAGTGAAGGCATTGGTTTCCAGGTGGAAGGCAGTCTCGGTCGGGGTTGGCTTGACGCGCCTTCCTCTTGGCACGTTTCTCTCTTTCGCCCTCCACTCGTGCCTCCTCGAATTTTGCAGCACTGTTTGTTTTTAGGGATTGTCTAATTGTTTAATTACTGTTTATATGTTTTATTTCTTTTACCTTGTTGTTGTGCCGGCATCGAATTGTGCCTTGAGAGGGCGGAGTAGAAGCGCGAGAAATAAATAAATAAATAAATTGTGTGGAAACATCAGAGATGTTTTTCTAACGATGGGAACTAAGAAACTAAGAAACGATGGGAACTAAGAAACCTCACTGACCAAAGATAGTCAAATTCACTTCCAAATGAAGATCCTGAGCAAGTGGGATTTACTTCCAAGCAAAGTCAGCGAGCTTTCGCCCTCAATCACAATGCTCGGGTTTGGAGAGGAAATGGACAGAAAAGAGAGAAGGGAGCATTTTGCTCGGCATGTGCCTCAAAGGCGGCGCATCCTGAAAGATGGAGATACAAAAAGAATGGCGCTAATGCAAAACCGGAGCAAACAAACCATGAAGGCCCGACGATATTGAGTTATACATATTTAATGAATATTTATATTTTTAAAAATTAATGGCAATCTCAACTCAGATGTTGTTCTCTGAGAAAACGGAGCGATCATCAATCTCGCCACTGCGTTCTTCCACTGAGTGATGTGTTACATTATAGGACAGGAACGGAGTCCATTAACCGCTGAGCCGAGACTAATTCCACTTTGGGCTCAGCACCGGATTTGCAAATCCAAGGGCAATGGTGAGGTCAGGGCTCTTGTTAATATCTCTCGCTGGACCATCGCCACGTGGCTACGCTGATGGGTTGGAGCAGAGAGGGAGAAATTAAATGAGACGAGGAAACCACAAGTAACATTAGCACATTGGCAGGTCCTGCCATTGGAAGTGGAGGCAAAACTTGGCCAAAATAAGAACGACCTTTAGTTCCAATTAAAACAAGGACGACATTTGGTCTGAAGGAAACATCTTAAGCTAAAACGTAAAGGAGGAGGAGAATTTGATTGTGCTGGTAAGAAGTATGTCCCATGAGGAACATGATGATGTCTGCTTTATACCCTGCTTTTTCTCTCTACAAACAAGGCTCAAAGCAGCTGACAACCAATTCAATACAATTTAAAACCAAAATAGACAGATATTAATCTTATCCTACCATATCCAACTTGTCGTCCATTCACTCCTTTGGACTTCACACAAATCTACTATTTGCCAAAATTATTTTTATTATTATTATTATTATTAAACTTTATTTGTACCCCGCTAGCATCTCCCGAAGGACTCGATGCGGCTTACAAAGGCCAAGGCCTCAACACACAATATAACAATACAAAACCCAAGGCAAATTAAAAACAATTAAAGCAATATAAACAACAAGCAATAAGCAATACACTAAGACACAATGAAACTGGGCCTGGCCAGAGTAATGGGTACAGGATTAAAAGTGCTGATGTGACAGGTGGTACATAAGGCTTATAGGGCAAATGCAGTGTGCGATGTGCAGCAATCTTAGTTCTAATAAAGTGCTTATGGGACTTGGTATTGGAGATTTCCTATTCTGGGAAGGCACATCGGAACAGCCAGGTCTTCAAGTTCTTTCTAAAGACTGCCAATGTAGGGGCCTGTCTAAGATCTTTGGGGAGGGTGTTCCAGAGTCGGGGGGCCACCACAGAAAAGGCCCTGTCTCGTGTCCCCACCAAACGCGCTTGCGACGCAGGCGGGATCACGAGCAGGGCCTCTCCAGATGACCGAAGTGAACGCGTGGGTTCGTAGACGGAGATTTTGCTTCTGCAGATATCGATAGACCACAACCAGAATGCCACAGTGATAACGGCATTCAGTTTCAATCCACATCGAAGTGTAAACTTGTAGTGGAGTGTAATAGATTTAACTCTCACAGGATGTTTAATCCAACTCCCGAGCAGTGTAAGATCCACAGTGTAAGATCCACGGGAGTGGTAACTGTCCAATCAGAACTTCAAATGAAGAATGCTGTCACTAGGAAGACGCCAACTCAGTCTATCCCACCTTGCAGGGTTGCAGTGAGGATGGGAGGAGAGTGAGTTGCGTTGCCCACTCAGAGTTAGAGCAGTTTGTTTAAATGTTGCTGTGTGTTATGGTAAGATATCACAACTGAGAGGCCCTTTCTATGTCTTCCTTTTTCGGTTTCAGTTCATGCAGAGGGGCCTAGACTCCGAAACCAAAAAGCAGCTTGAAGAAGAGGAAAAGAAAATAATCAGCGAGGAGCATTGGTTCCTAGATCTTCCGGAACTGAAGGAAAAAGAGTAAGCGGGTTGGCAGGAGGGGTAAATGCCCCTACTAAAGCCACTACCCTGGTCCCAATTCAGTGTAGGTTATGACCTACAAAGTTTGGGCCCTGCCTGTCTTCATGACCACATCTCCCCCTGTGAACCGGCACAGGCTCTAACATCCGCTGAGGAGGCCCTGCTCTCAGTCCCGCCTCCTTCTCAAACGCGTCTGGCGGAGGAGGGGACCTTCCTTCTCGGTGGTGCCCCCTGTCCCAGGGAGAGTAGGCCAGCCCCCACACTGCCCTCCATTTGCAGGGAACTGAAAACCTGGACATTCCAGGTGGAATTCGAAAACAACTCGTCCCTAGTTATAAAGGTCCAGTCCCTCGGTCGCCAGATATATCACACTCTGTTTTGCACTTCATCCACTTCCCTGGCCCGATGGTACGCTGTTTGCACCACCCCTTGCCCAGCCCTTTATAACTTGGTCACACCTCCTTTAGTAATCCTGGTCTTTGGTTTTTGTCTAATCTTGTGTGATGGAGCTTCAATGCAATCTGTTTTTTACTTTTAAGTTTAGTGTGTTTTTGTCTGAGTGGTTGTATTTTATGAGGCTCCTGTTTTAATGTCTTTTGTTTTATGGGTTGCTTTTATGTCTTGTGGACTTTCCATCCCATGTATAAGCAACCCCGTATCCCTCCCTTCAGGGAGGTGGAGTTGTTATTATTATCACTATTATCATCATTAATGTTAAATGCAGAAAAGCGGAAGCACCCTCTCTGGTGCGAGGGTTTTGTTTCATGCTTTGCTTCTGGCTCCTTCCTTCTGCTCTCTCAGGCCTCCTCTCTCCTTTGCTTTGCAGGAGCTTCATAAGAGAAGAAAGAAGTTTCTCCCCATGCGAAGACCTCCTCTATGGCAGAATGTCCTTTAAGGGGTTCAACCCAGAAGTGGAGGTATCGCCAAGGGGGGCGGGGGGGGGATGGCTTTCTTTATGTATTTAGCACAGGGATTGTGACGCAGCTGGCTGAGTGTCAGCTGCATTAAGATCACTCTGACCAAAAGGTCATGAGTTCGAAGCCAGCCCGGGTTGGAGTGGGTTTCCAACCAATTGTGTAGCCTGTTGTCGACCTTTGCAACCCGAAAGACAGTTGCATCTGTCAAGTAGGAAAATTAGGTACCACCTTAAAGTGTGGGGAGGCTAAATTAACTAATTTAGGAGGCCATAAAAAAGACCCCAGCAAAGCGGGGAATGTGGAAGTACTTCATCAGTGTTGCAGATGGACGATGAAAGCGACAGCTCCCCTGGCGGCCAGAAAAAGTTAAATAGCCTCTGTGTATGTCTGTATATGTTGTAAGTCAAAATTGGCATTGAATGTTTGCCATATATGTGTACACTGTAATCCGCCCTGAGTCCCCTGCGGGGTGAGAAGGGCGGAATATAAATGCTGCAAATAAATAAATAAAATAGATCCCACCTCCGCCACGGGGACTCAAGGCAGCCAACAATCTGTCCACACTAAACAGTTTTAAAAGAGCTATACAAAAGTTTAAAAACCATTAAATAACAACAGTGGCCTTTAAAATGGCCTTTAAAATTCACACACACCCCATCCCATGCCCATTTAATGCTCAGTGGAGCTGTTGAACAGATGATTGCGCGAATGTATGCGAATGCCTTAAGTGCTTAGGAGAGGCATCTTACTTTAGATTGAGAGCGTTTGCAAGGAAAGGTGGAGTATTCCTTTTTTCTATACAATATCCCAGAGTACTTGTAAGGTATCAGCACAAACACAAAACAATCTATGCGTAATGTCAAAGTGTATTATCAAAGAGCATATTGTTGTTGTTCATTCGTTCAGTCGTCTCTGACTCTTCGTGACCTCATGGACCAGTCCACGCCAGAGCTCCCTGTCGGCCATCACCACCCCCAGCTCCTTCAAGGTCAGTCCAGTCACTTCAAGGATGCCATCCATCCATCTTGCCCTTGGTCGGCCCCTCTTCCTTTTACCTTCCACCTTCCCCAGCATAATTGTCTTCTCCAGGCTTTGCTGTCTCCTCATGATGTGGCCAAAGTACTTCAACTTTGTCTCTAGTATCCTTCCCTCCAATGAGCAGTCGGGCTTTCTTTCCTGGAGGATGGACTGGTTGGATCTTCTCGCAGTCCAAGGCACTCTCAGAACTTTCCTCCAACACCACAGCTCAAAAGCATCTATGTATTCCAAAATTTACCAAAATCCCCAGTACATAGCTCAGTTCAGTGGCACACAGCAAAATCAAAAGGAGCAGCCGCTCTCAAACGTGACAGTTCTAGGTCTGGATAAGGATTCCACTGTATATAGGCTTCAGGGATACATTCAATAAGAAAAATCATATAAACACAGTAAGCATTGAGTCATAAGGCTATATGTAGACTGAAGACAATAATGAAGATGGAGCATCACTCTCAAAACAATCTTCATGGAAAAAATCCAAATCGAGTCCAATGAAAATGGAGCACTGCTTCTCAAAATAAGTCTTCAAAGGAAAAGTCCAAATGGCATCCAACAGGGGTGTCCTTTTTTCAGCTCACAAAATGTCCTAGCCAGCAACGGCCTTGTCAGCTGTGACCTTCAGAGGATGGTAGCCTTAAAAGCATATGTTTCAGCATTAAAATACTATGTTTAAAAGCAGAGTTAGGAGACAATATTAAGCAGGAGAGTTAAAAGCAGCATTCAATGGTGGTTTGTGTGTGTGTGTGTGCGTGTGTGTATAGCAGTGATGAAAGCTGAAATAAAATAATAAAACCTTTTAGGACCATGACAGCAATTGCTGCGGCACAAAAACTGGCAAATTTGGCTGTCAGCTCACTAAATCCAACCATAGAGAACACTTTCCTATATTTTGGGATCATTGCTTTGCTCAGAAACTCTGCAGGTAGAAGAGCCCACTGGCGCCGAGAATATTATGATTACTATTATCTTTATTGATGCCCCTCTTTCTTTCCTTCCTCCCCCCCCCCCCCCCCCCCCCCCCAATGAGACTCAAGGTGCCTCACACTCCACACCGGGCGAGTTTAGAAAGTGCAGTGCAGTAGTTCAAAAGCCATTAAAAAGCAGTTAAATAGTAGCAGCATAGGGGTGCCCTCTATGTTCCGGTGCTTTTGGAAAGTGATGTCCTTTTCCTCCCAAACCGGCCTCCTTGGCTCCCCTGGTGGGGCGCAGTGCTTGAGATGCGGCTCCGCTTCTTCATTTCCAGAAGTTAATGATCCAGATGAACTCGAGGCTGAAGGCGGAAGGAACGGACGAGGACGACAATGCCATGGAAGCAGATGTGTCGGATGAAGAAATGGCCAGAAGGTAGTTCTTCCCATTTATAACATTACTAAGAAGATGAGTTGCTGCTTTTCCCCCCTTATAAAGCCCAAAGCTGGCCTGGAATGGCCAATTGCTTGCCGTGCAAAACATTTATTTTTAGAAGAGAGCCATTTATTGTGGAAATCGGCCGCTGATCTGATGAGTTGTGGCTCCAGCTTGGAACCTTTGGCTTTCTTCAGGCACTTGAGCTCGAATTCGGTCACAATACTAATACTTATTTATTTCTGTTCCCAGCGATGTGTTTCCATAACAAAATGCTTGGAGGGAACAAAACGCAGCAATTCTTTAGAAATATGTCTTTACACTTCCACCAAAATTGGAAGCATTCAATCCCTCGCAGTCATTTCGGAGACTAGGATAGGAGTCCTCTTCTTGCAAAGAGGAACGCAAAGGCCGGCTCTGAACTGAAACATCTGCCCATTTGTCAGGGAGGGAAAACTCTGGATAAGGAGAGCCTGGCACAATTAAGGGGCAGGACTGCATCTTATATATACTACCTTCATATTTTTCTCCTATACATATACAACCAATTGATAAGTTAGTTGCTGTAAGAGAGAGCACTCAATCTCATATATCACCATCATCACTTTATTTCTTAATTAGTCGCTCTCCACCAAAGTGCTCCGAGCACAATTTAAAATAGCTTATGCACAATATAAAACATTCAATATAAAAACATTCAACATAAAAACATTCAGCAGTGACTATGGCAAAATTTGATCCGATTACTTAAATGCACAACCAAACAGCCAAGTCTTGGGTGCCTTTACAAAAGGTCGCAACTCCGACATTGCTCTAATATATGGAGGCAATGAGTTCCAGAATTGGAGCATAGATCGAAAAAGTTCTATGCCTTGTAGCTTCCAAATGTGCCTCCCCAGGACCCAGTATGTATAGGAGATTTTCCTGGGTGGATCGAGATGACCACTGATGGAGAAAAGGAATGAGGCGGTCCCTAAGATATAAAGGTCCTTGGCCATTTTGAGCTCTAAATATCAGGATCAGTATCTTGTAAGAGATCTGATGTTCTATTGGTAGCCAGTGCGGTTGTTGCAGTATCGGTGTAGTATGGGAGCTTATAGATGATCCCGCTAGCAGCCTGGCTGCCGCATTTTGGACCATCCGAATCCTCTGGGTCGTTGACTTCGGAAGGCCAGCATATAAGGCATTGCAATAGTCCAACCTAGTGGTGACTGTTGCGTGGATTACCGTTGCCAATCCTTCTACCGAAAGGTAGGCTGCCAATTTCCTTGCCTGGCGAAGATGAAAAAAGGCCTGCTTACTTATGGCAGTGATCTGGGCCTCCATTGTCAGCGATGAGTCCAACACAACCCCAAGGCTTTTAACAGTGGCAGATGGAACCAGAGCTTCCCCATCGAAATCAGGCAGAGACTGGGTTAATTCTGGTGGCTGGCCGGGCCAGAGTATCTCAGTTTTTGCAGGATTGACTTTTAGTCTGCTTGCTCATAGCCAACTCATCACTGCTTCCAAACACAGCTTAAAGTTCTCAAGAATATCAATCCCATTGTTGGTGGGGTTCAGAATGCTCTGTGATTGTAGGTGAACTATAAATCCCAGTAACTACAACTCCCAAATGTCAAGGTCTATTTCCCCCAAACTCCATCTGTGTTCATATTTGGGCGTATTGAGTGCTTGTGCCAAGTTTGGTCCAGATCCATCATTGTTTGAGTCCACAGTGCTCTCTGGATGTAGGTGAACTACCACTCCCAAACTCAAGGTCAATGCCCACCAAACCCTTCCAGTATTTTCTCTTGGTCATGGGAGTTCTGTGTGCCAAGTTTGGTTCAATTCCATCGTTGGGAGTTCAGAATGCTCTTTGATTGTAGGTGAACTATAAATCCCAGCAACTACAACTCCCAAATGACAAAATCATAATTTTTTGAGTGATGGTCACTCCTTGTGTTGTGAGACGTTTTGTTGCCAAATTTGGTGTGATTTTGTTCATTGGTTCTTTTGTTTTTAAGGAACTCGTTATGCATAGAGCATTTATATATAGATAGATTTCTTTAGATCCAGTAGTATGTAAGGATAATTTTTATTGATATGACCGTATAATTTAACATGCAAAAGCTTGCAAGAGGACTGTGGGATCCTATGTGACGCACCTGTTTATATTAATGCGAAGGCCCACATTTGGTCCTTCTCATTAATATAAACTGGTTCGTCCTATAGGATCCTGCAGTGCCCTTGCAAGCCCCGGATTTGCTTCTCATTCAGTATGCTGATGGGAGATAAATATTAATATCCCCATCCCTGGTTTCCAAGGTCATATGGCAGCTTTTGTGATATTTTGCATGCTTCAAAGCAACAAACTTCTTTTAGGGATGCTTCTTAAAAACCCATGTTGGCCTTTCCAGGTACGAAACCCTAGTGGGGACCATTGGGAAGAAGTTCCTGAAGAAGCGGGACCACCGTCTGATGGAAGACCCTGTGGAAGAGGAGGGCGGGAGCGGCAAGGGGCCCAGCAGAGCCAAGAAGGCCTTCCTGAAGCCCCGGGATTAGACGCCGCCACCACGGCTGGGTTGAACCTCCTTCCAGATCACGGGCATCCCTTCCATCCCACGGTAATGCAAGTCATTTTGGGAAGTGGCCAGGCCTCTTCGTCTCACCTCCTTTTGCAGAGTGAGGGAGGCACATAGCCCTGGATGGGATACACCTGTGGCTCCTTGCACACATTTCTCGCGTGGGACTGTGAACAACACAATGCTAATGGAAAGACGGAGCACACACGTGATGATTCTTAATTATAAGAAAGAGTACTTTAAGGTCAAGTGTGCATGATTGGAATTTTCATTCCCTTTGAAAAATATTATGCTTTAAAAAGAGATTACGTCTGAATGGTTTCCTGAAACAGAATGTCAATGCAAAATGGGCCCTAATTCCAAATTCTAGTCCTGAATAGGTTCGGTCCTTTAAATCGGATTTATTTATTTATCGTGTCATCCGCAACCAGAACATTGTATTACATTTCTAACAGAACAAAACAAACAAACAGATAAAACAAAAAAATAAATAAAACCCTACAAATTTTGCAAACTTGGTAGCTGATTAAATGTCCTTTGACCAGTATCTGGCCACTTGGAGTGCCTCTGGTGTTGCCGCAAGAAGGTCCTCCATCGTGCATGTGGCAGGGCTCAGGTTGCATTGCAGCAGGTGGTCAGTGGTTTGCTCTTCTCCACACTCGCATGTCGTGGATTCCACTTTGTAGCCCCATTTCTTAAGATTGGCTCTGCATCTCGTGGTGCCAGAGCGCAGTCTGTTCAGCGCCTTCCAAGTTGCCCAGTCTTCTGTGTGCCCAGGGGGGAGTCTCTCATCTGGTATCACCCACGGATTGAGGTGCTGGGTTTGAGCCTGCCACTTTTGGACTCTCGCTTGCTGAGTTGTCCCAGTGAGTGTCTCTGTAGATCTAAGAAAATATTTCTTGATTTAAGTCGTTGACGTGCTGGCTGATACCCAAACAAGGGATGAGCTGGAGATGTCTCTGCCTTGGTCCTTTCACTATTGGCTGCTACTTCCCGGCGGATGTCAGGTGGTGCAATACCGGCTAAGCAGTGTAATTTCTCCAGTGGTGTAGGGCACAAACACCGTGATAATGCATGTCTCATTAAGAGCCACATCCACTGTTTTAGTGTGGTGAGATGTGTTCCACACTGGGCATGCATACTCAGCAGCAGAGTAGCACAGCGCAAGGGCAGATGTCTTCACTGTATCTGGTTGTGATCCCCAGGTTGTGCCAGTCAGCTTTTGTATGATATTGTTTCTAGCACCCACTTTTTGTTTGATATTCAGGTAGTGCAGCCTGTGCCAACTTGGGCCCTCCCTACCTCCGGGTGTTTTGGACTCCAACTCCCACCACTCCACACAGCCTCAGGCCCCTTCCTTTTCCCTTTCCTTTCCTCTAAGCAACTGAGGGGGGAAAGGAAGGGGCCTGAGGCTGTGAGGAATGGTGGGAGTGGGGGCCAAAACACCCAAAGGGAGGGAGGGCCCAAGTTGGCCCAGGCCTGCTGTAAAACAAGCCATTGATTCAATGGATCAATTCCAGGTTATGCTAGCAATTGAACTTAGGCACCAATATTTGCTTTATTTGAAAATATTTTTGGTGGCAATATTTTTGGCTGTTTCATTTTCTCAAGATGTTTTCCAGCCTGAGCCAACTTCTGTCCAACTTATTGCCTGTTACAAATAAAATGTTTGCCCAACTGCTTGAAGTCCCCACTGATTCCGGTAGAACTATGGCTTTTCATTGCCTTGTCAAGAGGAGCATCTGCCCACTCAATGTCTCTTCCTCCTAGAATCATAGAATCAAAGACTTGGAAGAGACCTCATGGGCCATCCAATCCAACCCCCTGCCAAGAAGAAGGAATATTGCATTCAAATCACCCCTGACAGGTGGCCATCCAGCCTCTGTTTAAAAGCTTCCAAAGAAGGAGCCTCCACCACACTCCGGGGCAGAGAGTTCCACTGCTGAACGGCTCTCACAGTCAGGAAGTTCTTCCTCGTGTTCAGATGGAATCTCCTCTCTTGTAGTTTGAAGCCATTGTTTCGTGTCCTAGTCTCCAGGGAAGCAGAAAACAAGCTTGCTCCCTCCTCCCTGTGGCTTCCTCTCTCATATTTATACATGGCTATTATATCTCCTCTCAGCCTTCTCTTCTCTCTTCCTCTTTAGAATATTTATTTATTTTTAGATGTGACTTTTCTCTATGGAACTTTCCCAGATTTGTGGCTGATAGAATGATAATGCCCAGCGGTCCCTTCCTAAACTTCCCTTGCTGGTTTCCCATCTAAGCTGTCTTCACTGCTATGGTGGGCCTTTCCCATCCCTACATGTCTTTTGACCAATCAGAAAAATCCCTAAAGAAATGCCTAGATATTTTACGCTACCTACTGATCAAATGAGCATTTATAGGGAGAATTCAAAGAGTGATCACATTTGCCTGACATTATTTCCTGATCAGAATGAATCCTGTGAAAGATGCTTTATGTTTTAACCAATTCTCACCAGAGAGGCACTATCTGTATCAGCTTCTGTGTTGCGTCCAAAAGCAAGCCCTTTCTGGATTTCGCAAGTATATACGCAAATATACAGCAAGTTTTTCAACCCTTTTTTCAAGCTGAAAAAGTCCCCCTTGGCTTATACTCAAGTCAAAGTTATTTATAATTTTACTCTGTTGTTGTTGTTACTATTATTATGATGGCACACCAGGAAGATCTAATGAGAAACTAAATGTGTCTGGCTATATTCCCAGTGACCATCGGTATGCCCTAAATTACTTTAATGCCCCCAAAAATGATACTCTACAGACAAGACTAAATTAACCAAATTGAGTTTACTGAATAAACAGGGTGAAATAAAACAAGCTCAGAATGTGCTTTGATTGTAGGTGAACTATAAATCCCAGCAACTACAACTCCCAAATGTCAAGGTCTATTTCCCCCAAACTCCACCAGTGTTCACACGTGGGCATATTGAGTATTTGTGCCAAGTTTGGTTCAGAGCCATCATTGTTTGAGTCCACAGTGCTCTCTGGATGTAGGTGAACTACCACTCCAAAACTCAAGATCAATGCCCACCAAACCCTTCCAGTATTTTCTGTTGGTCATGGGGGTTCTGTGTGCCAAGTTTGGTTCAATTCCATTGTTGGTGGAGTTTGGAATGCTCTTTGATTATAGGTGAACTATAAATCCCAGCAACTACAACTCCCAAATTACAAAATCAATCCCCCTGCCCAATCCCACCAGTATTCAAATTTGGGCATATTGGGTATTTTTGCAAAATTTGGGTCCAGTGAATGAAAGTACATAATGCATATCAGATATTTACATTACGATTCATAACAGTAGCAAAATTACAGTTAAGAAATAGCAACAAAAATAATGTTATTCATGGGGGTCAGCACAACAGGAGGAACTGTATTAAGGGGTTGCGGCATTAAGAATGAGAACCACTGGTTTAGTTGATGTATTGTGGCCAAATTTGATGTCAATTCGTCCATTAGTTTTTGAGTTATGTTAATCCCACAATATTTTTCAACAATCTTATGATGCCAAGAAGCAGAAGTAACTCATTTTATTTTTCAGGTATGTTATGACACTAGAAATCCCAATATATTCAGAAAATTGAAGTTGCATCACATTAACTATTCCGCTGACCTTAACCTTCAGTGTATTTGAATTCTCATGGAATCAGAAAACACTCCAAAGTCCAACCAATGCAAGTTTGATGGGGTTTTTAAATCCACCTGGAAGAGGTGAAAGCCCTGACTTGTCAGCAAATGCGAACCTAGCAATTTCCCATCAATGCAAAGTATTCTGCATTTCCAGCATCTAAATGAAGTCAGTCCACGCGGAAGTGATCTTTTCCACCGGCAGAGTTGCTTCTTCTACAGAAAAGAACGAAGCGTGTTGTATACAGCTTAGTTGTAGATGTTCATCAGAACACATTCTATTCTTCATTCAGATGTTGCTGTTGTGTGCCTTCAGGACATTACAGACCTACAGCAAACCTTGTTGATGTATTTGCTTTATGTCCCAAATGGGGCTCCAACCTCAGGTGAGCTTCTCAGGTGTTTATTGAGAGAGGGGTAAAAGAGTGTGACTTCCCAATGGGTTTTCATGGTTTACCCTGGTCTCGTGTGTATTTGTCCAGTGCTGAAACCATTATACAGTGCCATCTTGGCTTTTCCAAATTCAGATCAGTGTGGATTAATGAAATCTGAACAACAAATTCCTCTATTTTCAAGTGCTTAAAATTTTCCTTATCTGAGACAAATGGTTTAATTTCCTTTCCTTTCATTATCCTGTTCTTTATCAAGTTTGGGTACTTTGATCATGAGTCAGAGTTTAATCCATCGTTTAGTTAATCGTTAGAGAGAAAGTCTTACTGCTGGCTTTGATCCTCCAGGCTAGATTTCATAGTTCCCGGGGAGGTTAATTGGGGCCAGCTTCCTCTCCAAAGAGATGCCAAACTCCTCTTGCAGGGTTGGCTCCACCTCGTCATCCCGCAAGGTCTTGAATTCCACCAGGTCTGTGTCCTCCTTGTAGTTGTACTTGGTCTCTGAGAAGGTCCACCCAACCAGAGCCCGGAAGCCGCCCACAGTTTGGAGGGTGCAAATCGACTTCCGCGTAAACAGGGAATCGGGGGACATTTGGAGGTACAAACATTGGGGCTGGAAGTCTTCCATCGTAACCGGCTCCAGGCTGAATGAATAAATCCTCATGTGTCCCACTTTCCCTACCTGGTCACTGAAGTTGGGATTGGGAACATGTTGTTTCCTTCTGATTTTCTCCAAGTGCCAAGTCCCGTTCTCCCCTGTGAAGCGAAAGATCCCCGGTGTTTGAGGCTGGTCTTTGCCAGCCACCAGTTCCATAGGCTCCCACATTTGGTAGGAAGAGCCGTAACCACCATCAACAATATAAGTTGTTCCATCAATCACAACCTTCATGATGAGGTGGTTCATGTCCGTCCCATAGTCACCTTGCTTCGGGTTGTAGCAGTAAGCCCCCAGGGTGTTTGTGTCGTATCCCAGGCTTTTGAGAACCCAAAAGAGCAGCTGGTTGTTCTCCATGCACCACCCACCTCGCCTTTTCCTCACGATTTTCTCATACACATCCTCCAGGTCCAACGTGATGGTCTCCCCGCAGTGGATGCTGAGGTTCTCAAAGGGAACGGCCCGGATGTGGTACTGGAAGATGGCCGTCAGCGTCGCCAAATCGAGCTTTTCCAGGGAGCCTTGGTACCTGGTTCTTGCGAAATACTCTTTGATGTTCATGTTTCCTGCAAAGACATTGTGAAGGAAAGTAATTGAAAAGGAGGCTGAGGCAAAAGCTTCCCGTGGTTTCCTGCCAAAGGGTTGCTTTTTTAAAAAGGGGTTTTTCAAACAAATTTTGTAGCTGAAGCAACAACAACAATAACAACACTTGATTTACATTCTGCCATTCTTCCCGAGGGGACTCAGAGGTTTGTGTGTGTGTGTGTGTGTATGTGTCAGGAGTGCCTTGAGAAACTGCAAGTTGCCTCTGGTGTGAGAAAGTTGGCCATCTGCAAGGATGTTGCCCAGCGGGTCCTCCGCATGATCTGAATCAATCAGAAACCAATCGCAAAGCCTTCCATGATGCATTTGCTCACAGGCAAAAGGGATCCTTCTCTTCTTAAACTTCATGCAATTCTGCAAGGCCTCTTTGTATCTGAGGTCATGCTCTTTTCTTGTAATGAAAGTCAACACAGAGTCCCACCAAAAGCAGACCTCTCCACTAAGGAAAGGCGAAGGGAAAAGATAGTGTAAAGAGAAGAGGTTTACCTGCTCAGCCGTACAATCTCTGCTCCTTGGAGGTGTCTTTGCTTTTGGGGAAGACCAAAAGCACATCACGGAAACAAGCAAATAATTCACATTTCATTCCTCCTTTTGCGCGATCTGTGTGGGCAGGCGCTTCTCGGGAGCAGAAGAAGCAAAGTCCATTGGCAGCATTCCTGCACATTTCCCTTCTGTCAACTGAACTTCGGTTCTTACATTCTGATGAGGCAGACTTTCCTTTATTGTGTGCGTGATTAAAAAGCAAGACAAAAGTATTTCCATTTGGCTGATAGGTAAAGGTAAAGGTAGTCCCCTGACACTAAGTCCAGTCATGTCTGACTCTGGGGTGTGGTGCTCATCTCCATTTCTAAGCCGAAGAGCCAGCGTTGTTCGTAGACACCTCCAAGGTCATGTGGCCGGCATGACTGCATGGAGCGCCGTTACCTTCCCGCCGGAGCGGTACCTATTGATCTACTCACATTTGCATGTTTTCGAACTGCTAGGTTGGCAGAAGCTAGGGCTGACAGCGGAAGCTCACGCCGCTCCCCGGAATCGAACCTGCGACCTTTCAATCAACAAGCTCAGCAGCTCAGTGCTTTAACCCACTGGCTGATAAGGAGGGGGAAATATTGCTTTCTAATAGAGAGATCTTACTTCTGTTTCAAACAGGCAGAACATCCAGAACTGAGTGCATAACAGAGGTTTTGTCTGGCCTTGTTTGGCAACAGGGTCCCAGTGGGGAGAGAACAAGCACCGCTTTGCCAAATGCCCTTAACCTGTCTGATCATATTAATGCATGTGCACACGCACGCACGCACACACACAGCGCCAAGTGCAGGGGTTAGGCAGAGTGGCCGTGGGTTGCATGCACAGGGAGGGAAACGGGTCTCCAGTCCCCGTGTGGTTGTTCGCCTGGAATTAAATGCTGGTGATAAGTTTCCAGATTAGGAGAGTTGGAGATGGGATTGATGTGGGATATGGATCTCCAGCCTTCCCCCTCATCCCTCCCCTTGTCCTTCCTCCTCATCTCCATCATATCCTTTTCTCCTCTCTTCCTACTCCTCCTCCTCTTCCTTCCCTCCCTCTCTATCCTCCTTCCTCTCCTCCACCTCACCCCCACCTCCTTTTTCTCTTAGTCTCATTCTTCCTGTTCGTCTTTAGTTTTCTCCTTGCTCTCCATTTATTGTCAGCACCACAATTCACTCCAAGCACAACAGCGAACCCTTCATGGCCACCAGATGTCATCATCTCCTTTCACTTGCTCTATTTCTTTCTGCTCTGCCTCCTGAAGATAGAGATAATGCCTCAAATATGCAGAGTGAAAATATCTCAAAGGGAAATAGATGGGAAGCCGCACGCTCTCAAGCTTCCTTTTCTTAAAAGGCATGATTGTCAGTCTTTGTCCCGGAGGGAAACTTGTACTATCAATGGGATGCCCTAAACCTGTCTTGCTCATTTGTTACAACTATCATTAACTGAAGGCAATGCATCTTGTTTTGTTCATACTGTAGAACAGTATTTCTCAACCTGGGGGTCGGGACCCCTGAGGGGGTCGCGAAGGGGTGTCAGAGGGGTCGCCAAAGACCATCAGAAAACACAGTATTTTCTGATGGTCATGGGGATTCCATGTAGGAAGTTTCACTTCAGTCTGCACTTCAGAATGTTCTTTGATTGTAATGAACTATAAATCCCAGCAACTACAACTCCAAAAAGTCAAGGTCTTATTTTCCCCAGGCTCCACCAGTGTTCACATTTGCGCATATTGAGTATTTGTGCCAAGTTTGGTCCAGATCCACCATTGTGTGAGTCCACAGTGCTCTCTGGATATAGGTGAACTACAACTCCCAAACTCAAGGTCAATGCCCACCAAACCCTTCCAGTGTTTTCCGTTGGGCATGGGAGTTTTGTGTGGCTAATTAGGTTCAAATCCATCGCTGGTGGAGTTCAGAATGCTCTTTGATTATAGGTGAACTACAAATCCAGCAACTACAACTCCCAAATTACAAAATCAATCCTCCCCCAACCCCACTAGCATTTACATGTGGGTGCATTGGTATTTGTGCCCAGTTTGGTCCAGTGAATGAAAATACATCTTGCATATCTGATATTTACATTATGATTTATAACAGTAGTAAAATTACTGTTATGAAGTAGCAACAAAAACAATGTTATGGTTGGGGGTCACCACAACATGAGGAACTGTATTAAGGGGTCACGGCATTAGGAAGGTTGAGAACCACTGCTGTAGAATGAAGTTTCAGGTATGCAGGGTGAGGCAGCATAACTTCCTTTTTTCAAAACTTAATAAAACCCATTGTATGAATCAAACATTTTTTATTTTTTTATAATGTAGGCGCATACCTAAAGTTTTGTTTTATGTAGTTTTGAGGATCAAATTAGGTAGGCGACGTCCCCCATTCTCCATACTCTGAGTAAACCGATTTCTGGCATTTGTCATGATTCTTGCTAGCATAGCAGGCGTTACGTTGGCAATTTCTTCCTGGATGTTGGTCTTCAAATCTTGTAGGGTCCTTGGTCGGTTCACATAAACATGAGATTTAAAAAAAAAACCATAGAAAAAATCACAAGGCGCCAAATCTGGAGAGCGGGCCGGCCATTCCAAATCCACTCGAAAAGTAGTTCTCAACGGCAAAAGCATGCTCTTCACTGTTCCAACGCATGATGGTGACTGAACTGTGTCAGGACAAAACTTTATTCTCCTGCCTCTCGAACAAGACCATAGAATCATAGAATCAAAGAGTTGGAAGAGACCTCATGGGCCATCCAGTCCAACCCCCTGCCAAGAAGAAGGAATATTGCATTCAAATCACCCCTGACAGATGGCCATCCAGCCTCTGTTTAAAAGCTTCCAAAGAAGGAGCCTCCACCACACTCCGGGGCAGAGAGTTCCACTGCTGAATGGCTCTCCCAGTCAGGAAGTTCTTCCTCGTGTTCAGATGGAATCTCCTCTCTTGTAGTTTGAAGCCATTGTTCCGCGTCCTAGTCTCCAGGGAAGCAGAAAACAAGCTTACTCCCTCCTCCCTGTGGCTTCCTCTCACATATTTATACATGGCTATCATATCTCCTCTCAGCCTTCTCTTCTTCAGGCTAAACATGCCCAGCTCCTTAAGCCGCTCCTCATAGGGCTTGTTCTCCAGACCCTTGATCATTTTAGTCGCCCTCTGGACACATTCCAGCTTGTCAATATCTCTCTTCAATTGTGGTGCCCAGAATTGGACACAATATTCCAGGTGTGGTCTAACCAAAGCAGAATAGAGGGGTAGCATTACTTCCTAGATCTAGACACTATGCTCCTATTGATGCAGGCCAAAATCCCATTGGCTTTTTTTGCTGCCACATCACATTGTTGGCTCATGTTTAACTTGTTGTCCACGAGGACTCCAAGATCTTTTTCACACGTACTGCTCTCAAGCCAGGCATCCCCCATTCTGTATCTTTGCATTTCACTATGTCTTCAACCGACTGAATGGCACACATTTTAAAAAAGGAAGTTGTGCTGCCTCACCCTGTATTTTGGATTCATTAAGATATAGAGCTCTTTGCACAGCACACAAAATGGTTTACAATTTGATGTCAAAGTAACTTAGGACCCCGTATCTGTAAGAGATACATTCCTAGACTTTGTATGGATGCACAAAACTTGTTGTTCATTCGTTCAGTCGTCTCCGACTCTTTGTGACCTCATGGACCAGCCCACGCCAGAGCTCCCTGTCGGCCGTCACCACCCCCAGCTCCTTCAAGGTCAGTCCAGTCACTTCAAGGATGCCATCCATCCATCTTGCCCTTGGTCGGCCCCTCTTCCTTTTGCCTTTCACTCTCCCCAGCATCATTGTCTTCTCTAGGCTTTGCTGTCTCCTCTGATGTGGCCAAAGTACTTCAACTTTGTCTCTAATATCCTTCCCTCCAATGAGCAGTCGGGCTTTATTTCGTGAGGTAAGGACTGGTTGGATCTTCTCGCAGTCCAAGGCACTCTCAGAACTTTCCTCCAACACCACAGTTCAAAAGCATCTATCTTCCTTCGCTCAGCCTTCCCTAAGGTCCAGCTCTCACATCCGTAGGTTACTACAGGGAATACCATGGCTTTGACTAGGCGGATATTTGTTGCCAGTCTGATGTCTCTACTCTTTACTATTTTATCGAGACTGGATAATGGCAAATGTCATTGAAATGAACCTCCAGCCCACAAATGCTATATAATTACATGGAAGGGCCTTAAAAATGGGCATGTGTGATGAAATCATGTGTTTTGTTTCTGTTGCATTTGCGTTGGGTATTTTCCCCCAAAGTTCTGCAAATATTTACACGTCTCCCACATCACCCTCGTTCCACCCACGCACAGCGTCAGCTTATCCTTTGTCTTCCAGTACTATGATTCTATGATAAAGCAGGACTTGTTATTAAAAGCCGTCCTGGGTCATGATGTCAATGATTACCATTGCCTTTTCCCCCTTGCGACGTCCTT